GCACGTTTTTCGGTCTTTTTTCTTCTGCGAGTCAAGTAGATAGGAAAGGTCGATTTATCCCCAGATCGATCTTCAGATACGAGATTTGATTACTGCTAGTCTAGTCAGATGTGCGAAATACGTCTGAAATAAGTGAAATATGTGTTTGAAATAAGTTTGAATTATTCAAAAATCTTTCTCAATTTCCGCGAATTGCAATTTTGTTGCTTGCAACATTAACCAAAAAACAGTCGCCACCGTGTCCTCTCTCTCCGTTTGTAATAAGTACGGGACAGAACTTTACGCCTACTCGGCGAGAGAATGCATAGGTTCATGAAGTACTCATATATGTGAAATGATTGCCATTGATAGGGTCTCTGATGTCTTCTACGTCAGGTTATGACTTGGGTTCATCAACACTTCCATCTGGTAACATCTCATCCTCGGCATATTCGCGAGCGCAGCTAGGATCAGCAGGTCGCTTGCTCGAAAGCAAAGGATTTGGTTGGCTTTTGGAAGTAGAGGATGAAGACGATACTCAGACACCATTATTGTGAGTTTTTTCCATAAATAATCTCTAGTCTATAAATTCATTGCCTCAAAAACTTCGGCACAAGACTGCTGATTAGATTTTTATCAGTTTAAATGTAGAAAATAATCAATTTTGCATCCATTTACTATGTGAAATAATATCCCCCAATTTCCCCTAATTTTTGAACCCCATATAGCTTCGCTATGCTTTTTTGAGATTTTTCAAAAGTACTGCTTGGTCAACATTCTCTGCAAATAAATAACCATGTAATTCAGAGAAGAACTTGACATCGATCTGACGGACATATACTACAAAGTTCGCTGTATTCTTCTTCCTTTACCATATTTCCGAATGAAGCTCAACATAGTCCGTGAATCGCCAGATTTTTGGGGCCCCCTAATGGTAGTGATCGCCTACGCGTTGCTGTCCATATATGGCCAGTTTAGTGTAAGTTCGGTATGCTTATTCGATTATTAGTTTGTATTTTTAGCTGGAAGTGGTACAATAGACGATTGGATTTGTCAGGTTTAGTGTAATCTGTCATGCATTTTGAAATCTCCTTGTTCTTTAGCGCTATTCATGTAGAGCATGCTTATGGGGGTCTTCCACCATAATCTGGTTATCT